GCTGCAGGCGTCACAGGGTCACACCCTCCACCCTGCAGGCCCGGGCACAGGCCAGGCCAGCCTCACGCTATCTTGCCTGCACCTCTGGTGAGCCCAGCTCACAGCGAGGCTGGGAGGATCTGCCGGTGTTCCCCATCTGTGTGGTCCAAGGGAGAGGGCATGGAGACCGGCTGGACAGCCAGGGACCCCGGGGAAGCGGGGCAGGGGGCTCAGCAGGCCACGTCTTCCCTGGGACCCACAGGGAGGCTCCTCACGCACCTGCACCTGCTCCTCAGTGGTCCTCTCTGTACCGCCGCACTCACTGCTGCTGGTTCCACTGTCTCCTTCGCCATCCTCGCTGCTGCCGGAATCTTCCAGGCCTGAGAACACGCTCTCCTCACTGTCAGAAAGTCCAGAGTCATCGCCATCGTTGTGGTCGGGAACAGGGGCGCAGGGGAACACGGGCTGCAAGGAGACACAGGCGATGCCACCCCTGCAGCTCACCCGCAGCGCCAGCCCTCCAGTCCCAAGCCTCCTTCTCCATCCAAACCACCCACCCTACCTGGCCCTAACAGCCAGCCACCTGCCCTCCTGTCTTACTGGGAAGGGCTTCCCAGAACGACATCTCCTACAGCGGGCCCACAGCCTTCCCAAGGCTGGCTCCCCACTGCCAGCTACACCTTCCACGCCCCCTCAAGTTCCTGGGGCTGCCAGGACACCAACTAGGGAAGGCAAGGCTCTGAGAGGCTCAGAGTCCCCGAGGGGCTGTCACCCCCTGAAGTAGAACACGCTTGTCCAAGGAGATCCGGGCAGAGGCCGGGCAGGACCTCAGCCTTCTCCCAGCTCCCTGCCCAACCCTACCTGGCCAGGTTGGCCCAGTCCGGAGAACCTAGTACTCCGACGCGCACGAGTGCGCAGCCCTGGGCGGCCCCGCACCTTACATGGGTGTCCCAGTCGGCGCCTGCGCCCAGCCCTGCCCCAGCTCTCAACCCGCTCTGTGGAAGCGACTCCCGCGCCCTGATGCGCCTCGGCTCTCTAGCTGGCTACGCGACCGCGCCGCTAGTGCGACCCCGGCTGCGGTGGTGCAGGAGCAGGCGCGGCCGGCC